AGTGAGAGAGTGTGTTTTGAGGGCCCTCGTTCCAGAAAAGTAATATACTGATGGGAAACTTTGGTGGCATGCTTGACCTTTTAAAATGTGGCACTTTTTATTATTAATAAAGCCACAATGAACAAAAATAGTGTTGGTTTTTGTGTATTACTTGTAGGCTGTGTTTTCAAATCTAGCTACCTAGCTAGTCCTTCATAACATCTTTGGGCACCACAAAGGAGCAAAGGAAGAGTTCATTTGCAAAAACAGATAACTCCGTTTTTAAAAGTGTTCAAGAATCATGTTTTTTTAAAATTTTTATCCTGCATTCCAATTAATATCAATCAAACAGCAGTTGGGTTGTTTTGATTAAATAGTAATAACTAAAAAATACAGCTAACACAATAAAAGCATGATAACGCAATAAAAAAACATGAAAATTAATAAAAACAGAGTTATCTGTTTTTGCAAATAAACTCTTCAAATGTAAACAGAAGTCATATTAGTCTTAAAATTAGTTTGCAATTTTAATCAGTACCACTAAGCCTATTCTTTATTATTTATTCATATTAATCAATTGGTTATTTATTTATAATTACACTACATCACACGCACACACAAACACTGTTTGGTATTCAGAAAATACTTTTATTTTTTTAATTTAATCCTAAACGTTTTTGGAGACTTTTATTCTATATCGTGTCCTACGTCTTTCTGTTTCCGGTTGCGATCAGGCCTTAGAAATGGCTCAAGGCAAACAGAAATTTAAAGCGCAGCGCCCCGGAGGAGCTAAAAAGCAACAACACAAACCGAAAGGACTCAAGAAAGGAGGTAAAAAAACATTGTGTTCTTGAACAGACGAGTATTCTGAACGTAAAACAGCGTTAAATAGATATTTCTTATGAACAGCAGAGCGAACGCATTTGAGCCCGTGTAGACGCGCATGCGCAGTTGAGTTTGTATCTTCAAATCCTCTTTATTCCAGGAAGGATCATCGCACCCAAAAAAGCTCAAGTGGTCCAGCAGCAGAAGCTGAAGAAGGTAAACGTTCAGCTCGCTTTTAAAACCAGTCCGTGTCAGATAATAGCGGTTTGATTGGTGTGTTTGTGTTTTTGGTGCAGGGTTTGGAGGTGGCCATCAGGAACAGGATTGAACAAGAAGTCACACAGAGGGCCAGCACATCCCTTCACAAGAAACTGAGTGTGCTGAAGACTCCAGCGGGGAAAAGCGCCGCAGCTGGACCTTCAAAACCAGCTGCTGGACCGTCCAAGTCCAACTGATGACAGGCAAACACTGTGGTCTGCTGTACAGCCGCTAGATGGCGCCACCATATTAAAAAAACTGATGTTTGCCACTTTCTGTGGACTAACAGTGAAAGGTTTGTTTATTTTTGGAAAAAGGAAACATGGTGTGGGATCTTACATATGTACAACAGGCCATGATCTTTTAGACTGTGCTTATTTTTATATAATAAAATGAGAAAGTATTGTTAGGTTTCATAATACTTTCATTTGAACACATTTTTGTCATGGGAAAGCGCCACTCATTTTTTTTTTAATCTAGGTAATTTCATGATTATATTATTATAATTATTTGTGACCCTGGACCACAAAACCAGTCATAAGGGTCAATTTTTAGTATTTTTTCAGTATATCTGCTGAATCTTATCAAACACATAGATGGATCAGAAGTGTGAGCAGAAGAACATACAGTGGTGTGAAAAAGTGTTGGCCCCCTTCCTGATTTCTTATTTTTTTTGCATGTTGTTAAATTGAGATGTATACATCATCTGAAAGCTGACTAAATAAGCTTTCCATTGATGTGTGGTTTGTTTGAAAATCTGGAATCTGAGGGTGCAAAAAAATCTAAATATTGAGAAAATCGCCTTTAAAGTTGTCCAAATGAAGTTCTTAGCAATGCATATTACTAATCAAAAATTAAGTTTTGATATATTTACGGTAGGAAATTTACAAAATATCTTCAAGGAACATTATCTTTATTTAACATCCTAATGATTTTTGGCATAAAAGAAAAATCAATAATTTTGACCCATACAATGTATTGTTGGCTATTGCTACAAATATAGCTACCTGTGCTACTTGAGACTGGTTTTGTGCTCCAGAGTCACATATAACTTTTTCCACTGTTAAGCAGCCGCACTCATTTTCTTTCTTAGACTGCGAGTGTAAAATCCCTGAAGGTTTTCCTGCGGTCAAGGACGTGCTGCTCGTTCTGTGATTGGCTGAACGCTTTATTTTCTTTGTTCAGCCTCGATTGTCTGGCGACCTTGAGCTTCCAGATCTCCGATTGGCTCTCAGTGTGTGATTGACTGCAAAACACTTCCATTTTGACCCAAATAACTTTATTACGTTCAAAGACATAAAGGCAAAGTGAGCCATTATAGATGTTTTAAAATGTCCAAAGAGTCTATGTCCTACTAAACTATATTCTACCTGACTGTGGCTCATGTGTCTCTGCAGATTAACTGCAGATCTGGTCTAGACCTCAGATACGCAGGGTTTGCCAGCACAGCGTGTCTCACAGGACTTTGAGAGGCTGCTGGCTGTAAGAGGAGCGCAGGTAACGTGGGAACGAGTCTTTAGCCACCAGGGAGAAGATCCGTTGCTGAGCCTCGCCGAACGTGTCCGCTGTGGGATCCTCCATCAGCCCCGTCAACGCCTCGCGGGTCTCACTGTCCAGATTCACCTGACAAACACATCGTATGAGAGTGAAAACTGTCCAGAACATGCCTGAGATGCATTTCACTTTAAAACCAGGAGAAAGAAACAAGAAAACACATTTTAGAAAAAGAAAATGAAGCCTATTTTTAGGTCCGTAAAGATGTTTTGCATTACAACAATATTTTTTATGACTGTTAAACACATTTCTCTCGAACATTTTCATAGGTATAATGCAAAAATAGATATATTATTTGAAGAAAAGAATAATTAAATATATAAATACATTATTATACAGATTTTTTGTAATATTATTTTTATTACATTTTCTTGAAACACAAGACTGACACATGTACATACCGTGTCTGTAACAATACTTACTATGTACAGAAAAGAACACAAACAAACACTAGGGGCTCATATTACATAAAAAGGGTTAATACAGTCTGTACTTTGGAAGTTAGATTTAATAATCCATTGCAAACAATAAAAAACGCAGTTGTAAGGGGTTAATATAATGCACATTAAAATATATTTAAATACCCAATCAATAATTTTGATCCTCTATTATACTGTCAATATCCCTACATTCAATAAAAAATTAAAATTTAGCTTGTTTACCCTTAAGCATATAGGTTATCTTTTCCATTGCAATGCATGAAGATATTTCTCTTAACCAATGAGTTATGGTAGGCCTTTCTGTCTTTTTCCAATAAATGGCAATGAGCCTTTTGCCATGTAAAATGCACATATCTATCAATACTTGATTATCCTTTTTAATATTCCAATTTTCTGAATGATATTATACAGATTTATATAAAGTAAATTTATTTTGTATTATATTTTAGTAATTTTTAGAATAATACAGTACAATCTATATACTTAAAATCAAAATAATTATACAAAAGCATATTATGTAAATGTAATTCAACTTTAATAAATTAAAACAAATATTAATTTGTTTATAAAATAGTTAATTTAAATTGAATTAAAATTGTAATACATTTTATAAAATTTTGAGTTAATTTAATTAATTTATTTAAAATATATATATATATTTTTTTTTTGTGTGTGTGCTGCCGCTAATGATAATATTATCACAAACAATGCTTTAGGGGTTGATTCGTCCCTCACCTCCCGAGGAGCATCAGGGTTGATGAACAGGTTGTAGATGTTGTGGGACCCGGATGCGCTCTTGTACTCTTCACACGCCAGCCAGAGCTCCAGGTTCTCCTCGCTGAGCTCCGAGCGCAGGAAGCAGCGCAGAGAAGTTCCGTTTAGAGAAGAGAAGTGAGCTTGTGGAGTCAAATCATTAGGAAAGTCCTCTCACGCTTGCTGTTGAGCAGAGACTCCAGGTCCTGAGGCAGCTTCTCCTCATTCGCGCTGAAGAAAACAATAGATGCTTTTTATTACATAGTTCAGCTTGTTTATGTCTTGAACAATACGTAGGGTTCTGTACAAGTTAAACTTAATCGATAGCATTTGTGGCATAATATTGATTACCACAAAATATATACAAATTATTATATACATAATTAACAATTAACAGTTTAACTGTGTATTATTCAGCCGTAAATTTCTCGTTAGACTTAACGGTCGTTTTAGGGTTCAACAGCTAAAGTCTGTCTAGTACACTGGACGCTACAAAGCGACCGTTGAAAATCAGTAAGTCAATACATCATAAATAGAAAGCAGCAGCAGTTTTCTGTCGGGGATTTGTCGTGTCGTGCCGCGCCGCATCCAGTGTAGACAGCATCACTGATTATGAGTTCTATAGTATTTTGTCGCGCAGCTTGTGTCCGGTGTAGACAAGGTGTAACCTGTGAGCAGGGCCGTCCTTAGGGGGGTGCAACTGGTGCAGTCGCACCGGGCCCTGCGGCAAACGGACCGAGGGGGGCCCTGCTCCCTACCTCGCACCGGGCCCCACGTCAGCTAAGGACGGCCCTGCCTGTGAGAATAATATGAACGCGGATAGGCTGTTTACGTATGTGATACTCTCCAAAATGGCGCTATAGGGTGACGCAGAGGAGATGAATTGTTGAATAAAGTTGTTATTTTTGTTTTCTTTGCACACAAAAAGATTTCTCATAACTTCGTGAAATGACGGTTGAACCCCTGATGTCACGTGGATTATTTTATTTTATTATCCTTGCTACGTTTCTGGACGTTGATCATGTTAATTACATTGCTGTCTGGGGGGGGGACGGAGGTCTTAGGGGTTTGGAACGACATGAGGGTCAGTAATTAATGACAGAATTTTCATTTTTGGGTGAACTCTCCCTTTAACTCCAATTTTTGTTGCTTTTTAAAAGAAAAGCAAGGACAGTATAAATTATTTTTGTGGTAATAATCAACATTATGCCACAAATGCAGTTGATTTATATTGAGCTTTATACGAGAGCAGTGCACTTGTTATCTGTGTTTGTAAACCCACTCCTGCTTTTGGGCCAGGTGGGACAGTTTGACCCTCATGCCCTTCGCCCTGAAACATCAATTCACAGTTTCACATCCAAACACAGCTCAATGCTCCAGTATCTGTCTTTCCAAAAGCGCTGATACTCACTTCTCCAGGCATGAGGCGCAGAGGAGATGAATTGTTGAATAAAGTTGTTATTTTTGTTTTCTTTGCACACAAAAAGATTTCTCATAACTTCGTGAAATGACGGTTGAACCCCTGATGTCACGTGGATTATTTTATTTTATTATCCTTGCTACGTTTCTGGACGTTGATCATGTTAATTACATTGCTGTCTATGGGAGGGTCAGAGAACTCTCAGAATGCATCAAAAATATCTTAATTTGTGTTCCGAAGATCACTGAAAATTAATGACAGAATTTTCATTTTTGGGTGAACTCTCCCTTTAACTCCAATTTTTGTTGCTTTTTAAAAGAAAAGCAAGGACAGTATAAATTATTTTTGTGGTAATAATCAACATTATGCCACAAATGCAGTTGATTTATATTGAGCTTTATACGAGAGCAGTGCACTTGTTATCTGTGTTTGTAAACCCACTCCTGCTTTTGGGCCAGGTGGGACAGTTTGACCCTCATGCCCTTCGCCCTGAAACATCAATTCACAGTTTCACATCCAAACACAGCTCAATGCTCCAGTATCTGTCTTTCCAAAAGCGCTGATACTCACTTCTCCAGGCATGAGGAGGGGATGGCAGACAGCCCCTTACACATCACACAACGTCTGAATGAACCTCAAAGAATCGATCAAATGTCTCCAGCGCCGCTTGACTCTCTCTGTCTCTGTGTCCTGCTGTTATATAGTGACATTAATCTGATCCTGAGATCATGAAACAATACACAGAGCTGTTGGGTGAGAACACCACACAGTGACTGTCCACATCACAGGCAGTGCTGATTACAGGCTGTTTTGATGTTATACAGTTGGTGTGGACAGCAGCTGACAGCGGTTTTCTTCAGAAAGCGTGTATCTGTGTGTGTATCACCTGTATTTGTGTCGGGAACAGTGACTGAAGGCAACAGGTGTGCATTAGGTCATCTGTGTGCTGATCTTATGTTCTGTTCATCAGTTCACAGAATAGCTTGTTTCCATGCAGTCACTGTCATTTGTCAAGCTATAATTGTTGATCATAGTGATAGTGAATGCATTTAAAGTGAACATTATTGTGGGAGACTGTTGCATAATTTTCTGTTTCAGACCCTGTTGGAAAACTGAACAAAATGGACATGCAAGATGCTGGAGAAATGGGCTTCAGAAATGACAGAAAAGTAGTCCAAACAACTGGCGCACTATATTTAAAGTCCAAGTGTCTTCATGCAGAAAGATCTCAATATGCGAATGCAGATGAGATCAGGAAAACAACTTAAATTTGGGTCTGTTCCTCTCATAAATCTATCAAATGACTCCTTTTTGGAGCTTGATAGCATTTGTCCCCATTCATATACATCATAAGGAAACATACAGCATGGACATTCATCTAAACTTCTCCTTTTGGGTTGCATGGAGGAAAGAGAGTCAAATGCATTCAGATCGACATGAGGGCGAGTAAACATTTACAAAATTTTGGGGGTGAACCCTTTGAGGTGGTCAGACTGGTTTGTGCAACATAGTTGCTGTTTTTTGGAGGTCTACTAGGTCTAACCAAACTGACCGAGGTGGTCTACCTCTAACAGATCAAAAACTGGCAAGCAGTTTAGCTGATCTACACCAGCTGGAACCAGCTATGACCATCAATGACCAGTTTGGACCATCTAACCAGCAAAACCAGGATCTGTCATAGATGTGTTTCTTTCAGTTTGGCTTTTCTTAAAAGTCAGCACTTCTACCATATGTGACTCTGGAGCACAAAACCAGTCTTAAGTAGAACAGGTAGCTATATTTGTAGCAATAGCCATAATACATTGTATGCGTCAAAATGATCGATTTTTCTTTTATGCCAAAAATAAAAAATCCTACCGTAAATATATCAAAACGTTATTTTTGATTAGTAATATGCATAGCTAAGAACTTCGTTTGGACAACTTTAAAGGCGATTTTCTCAATATTTTGATTTTTTTGCACCCTCAGATTCTCAAATAGTTGTATCTCATCCAAATGTTGTCCTATCCTAACAAACCATACATGTACCATACATTGATGTAAACCATACATCAATGGAAAGCTTATTTATTCATCTTTCAGATGATGTATAAATCCCAATTTAAAAAAATTGACCCTTATGACCCTTATGGTTTTGTGGTCCAGGGTCACATACGTTCTTCTGCTCACACTTCTGATCCATCTATGTGTTTGATAAGAGTCAGCAGATATACCCGTAAATATATCAAAACGTTATTTTTGATTAGTAATATGCATAGCTAAGAACTTCGTTTGGACAACTTTAAAGGCGATTTTCTCAATATTTTGATTTTTTTGCACCCTCAGATTCCAGATTTTCAAATAGTTGTATCTCATCCAAATATTGTCCCATCCTAACAAACCATACATGTACCATACATTGATGTAAACCACACATCAATGGAAAGCTTATTTATTCATCTTAAAATTGACCCTTATGACTGGTTTTGTGCTCCAGGGTCACATACGTTCTTCTGCTCACACTTCTGATCCATCTATGTGTTTGATAAGAGTCAGCAGATATACTGAAAAAATACTTTGAACATGCTGCTGCCATGCAAACCCACTTCCTCCTCCTAAACCTTATGCATTCTTCATGAACCCTCAGGAAGTGACTTCATAAGCCACGCAGCCTGAAACAAAATAACCAATCACCCTTGTGAAGAGAAGATCATGTTCCGTTCTGCATGACAGATGTTTTACACCGGTCTTTGAGAGGGCTGATCTTATTTGTGTGCATGTATGCCATTCATCTGCAGAGTCATTGGAGAAGTTGCTGCATTCAATTCATTGTGCACGATTTAACACGGTTTCTCTGTTGTTAATACTTCAGGACCGGGATATTTTGGGTCATATGTTGGCAGAAGGAAGCCCCTCCTGAGGGTGTAACCTGAAGCCGCTGTTGTATCACTGAGTTGCGGCAGCAGTCCTCTGTTTTCATCTCGCCTTAAAATGTCGCAATGCTTGCGGATAAGAATATGAATGGCTATCTTGGAAGTAGAGGATTCATGATTGCGCAAGCTTCCTGGTTCGCGTGCAAAACAGCTGTTTGACGCCGTCTGCGGAGCGCGAGCTCTCAGGACGCGACGCGAAGGGGTTTGTTTCGCTATCAGCTCCTTTTTTGGACGCGTCTTCCGCCCGAAGTCTCTCCGTGGCTGACCGTGCGTGGAGAGCATCATGTGGCGGGCGCGGTGCCAGGACAGCGGGGTCGATCCCGAACGCGAGCGGCTCTGGGCCGAGCTCTTCGCGCAGCTGGATCTGAACAAAGACGGACGGATCGATGTGAACGAGCTGCGCATCGGACTCGCCGCGCGGGGGATGTCGTGGAGCTCGGTGGAGGAGGTACGGAGGAAACCTAATGCATGCAATCATAACGGAAGGGTGCTTCTAGTACAGGATAACTGTCCGTGAATTCACAGGTTTATGATTGAACGTGGAGATAATAACCCGCGCCTCCAGGTCACGTGATCATCTGCGTATGAACACTGAAAGCGAAAATGCCACAGTACGCGATACGATCGCAGGCAGCCAATCAGATTCTATCTGATGCTTAATATTCAAGAATGCAGAGTGCGATTCAAGCCAATAAGATTTCGCAGTGGGCGTGGCTACTCCGGGCAAGTCGAAAGATAAAAATTGCGTCGCAAACCTACAGTCTATGGTCGCAAACCAGGTACTGTACATTGTGTACTTACGCTGTCCACCCATAGGTGGAGCGTGTGTAAGGCTACACTGGCCACAGGACTTGGGGCAAAATGCCACTAAATTGGACAAAAATGCCCCAGCACAAACAAATTAAATCTATTACGTCTGTTGCTAACAAAGTGAATATGAATAGACAGTGTCGATTGCGGCATTAAATTAAGATCTGCTCATGTTGCACCGTATTTCATTTTAGGCGTTTTTACAGTGTTGCGCATTTCAACCAATCACACACAATTCTGTTGAGCTTAGGAATGCAATGGCCAATCAGAGGCGTTCAGATGAGTCATCGTTCAAACTCCGTTTTGTTGCGTGCGCGCGCGTTTGCTGACTGAATTCCGGACTCTTGCAAATTCTCTCATCATAAACAACAAAGCGCAGATGTAAGTAAGAGATTAATTTAACAGTGTATACAGCTTCAGTGATTATAACGATAGTTTAGTTTTTTTTGAGAGTGCTTAAACTCGCATGATAGATCAATGTTAGTGATAATGTCACTTTCTATATATAATTTTTTCGCTGTTTGAATAACCATGGAAAGGAAACGTTATATAATTATCAATTTCTAACGTTTTTATTAATGATGACCCTGGAGTTGGTTCACCCTCCGCTGATGTGTCCACCCCATTGGTGCGTCTCAAATCGTGTACTTGTGCACTATTCTATGACATTTTGTAGTAAAATTCCAAAAAGAAAAAGTGCATTTTAAATAACCGTGTAGATTGTTGTGTGGAATGTTGGACATGGTTGTGGCTAGAAGGGATACAGCTCCGACCAGAAACTAACAATGAAATTTAATTTTCTACCTATTAGATTGTGTTTTATTAACGTCTATCCTTACCACAACCCTAAACCTACCCCTTACAATAATGCAAAAACAGTAAGTATTGTTGTACAGTGTGACAAAAATTAGCTGTAAGTGAATAAATGGGGCAAAAATAACTTGCATTACTTATTTGAAAAGTAACTCAGATATTTTCTTGTAAATTTAAAAGTAATGTGTTACTTTACTAGTTACTTGAAAAAAGTAATCTGATTACATTACTTGTAATGCGTTACCCCCAACACTGCTGTTTGCAACATACTGTATACAATAGTTTATAGTTCAGCGTAAGTGATTAGACTATTGATCTGTTTGCCTGGGACAGTCTTGTGTCATATTGATTTTTGAAACTTGATGATTGATGGTTTTGTAGAGTGCTTTGCTTTTTGAGGTTTGGAAGCATGTGTGCATGTGTTTGTTTTATGCATTATGCATTGTGATGAATGATTTTGGCAAGAAAGTACTAAACTTCACACATAGGCTCACAGAAACACACATGTAGGCTGCTGCAGACTGTGCAAAAGATCAGCGTCTTGGAGTGGATCCATGTGAGAGTAAATGATTGTGTGGATTTAAACACTAATATAGCGATTAAGTGTCTATAAATGAATGAAACACATTGTAAAGCTACTGTTTTGTGCGCTTGGCTTTCTCTGTTTGTACATTTACATTCATTTTGTTAATGCATTTAATTCGAATGAAATGAACCTGCGTTTAGATTCGATGATTAATGTCTGAGTGCTCATGTTTGATGTTGGTGCCGTGGACCGGTGGCTTTGCATGGTTTTAATCTGCTTTTCTCTTTCATTTGCACCCCATCCCACCTTTCCTAATGATCCCGGCATCCCCCTGTCCCTCCATTTCTCTCTCTCCCCCTCTATCTCTCTGCATATGCCCTATATTCAGCAGATTGTACGAGCTGGAGATGTTAATCACGACGGCCAGCTGGATTTTGAAGAGTTCGTTGAGTATCTGCGTTCACATGAGAAACGCCTCAGACTCATGTTTCGCAGCTTGGACCGAAACAATGACGGTTAGTTTCTGTCGACTTCACAGCATCATCAGAACCAGTGTTATTTTAGTATTATTCACTGTGTATTCTATTACAGTATGTATGAATATTTCAAGATTTTATTTCAGTCGACTACAATGATATTTAATAGTTTCAGTTTTAGTTAATAACAACACTGGTCAGAATCTGTCTTAATTCTCTGTTAGAGTATATTTTTTATGTTCACATTTTACTTTTACATTAAGTCACAGATATGATAATTAATCAAATTTGCCATATATATCCTCACAATAACCCTACAATCTATCCCATTATATAACATAACATCTATAACCTTATATTAGCATTAGCATATGTGATTTTATATCACTGTTAACATCTGTACCATTAGTAGCTATGCTACATTAGCATACATAAATTAATATTAGCATTAACATTTGTGATTTTACATCACTGTAATCATCCATACCCTCACAGCATCATTAGCAGCTTTGCTATTGCGTCTATACCATCGATTTAGTATTAACATTTAGCATCTATACAGTTATTAACTCATTCATAAGCGTCTCTAGCATCACATTAATGTTGTTAACAGCTATGACATTAATGTTAGCACTGCTACATCACTGTTAGCATATATACCCTCCCTCACAGTATCATTAGCAGCTATGCTATTGCAACGCTGTTAGCGGCTATATCTTAATTTTAGCACTGGTGCCTAAATACTCTAACATTTATAACATCATATTAGCATCAGAAGCTATGATATTGCTGTTAGCACTTTTACATCACTGGTAGCATCTATACCTCATATTAGCATTTGTGATTTTACATCACTGTAATCATCCATACCCTCACAGCATCATTAGCAGCTTTGCTATTGCGTCTATATCTATACCCTCAATTTAGCATTAGCATTTGGCATCCATACAGTTGTTGACTCATTCATAAGCGTTGTAGCATCACATTAATGTTGTTAACAGCCATGACATTAATGTTAACACTGCTACATCACTGTTAGCATATATACCCTCCCTCACAGTATCATTAGCAGCTATGCTATTGCAACGCTGTTAGCGGCTATATCTTAATTTTAGCACTGGTGCCTAAATACTCTAACATTTATAACATCATGTTAGCATTAGAAGCTATGATATTGCCGTTAGCACTTTTACATCACTGTAAGCCTCTATACCTCATATTAGCATTAGCATCAATTCCATTAATTCAGTCTTAAGCTCTATTATCTCACATTTCAGTACAATGACACATTGTTTGTATGTTTTGTAGGTGAACTGGACGTCGCGGAGATCCAGCAGTCGTTACACAATCTTGGCGTGGACGTCACGCTGGAGCAGGCCGCCAAAATCCTGCAAAGGTGTGTGGTATTAATCAAATTTGCCATATATATCCTCACAATAACCCTACAATCTATCCCATTATATAACATAACATCTATAACCTTATATTAGCATTAGCATATGTGATTTTATATCACTGTTAACATCTGTACCATTAGTAGCTATGCTACATTAGCATACATAAATTAATATTAGCATTAACATTTGTGATTTTACATCACTGTAATCATCCATACCCTCACAGCATCATTAGCAGCTTTGCTATTGCGTCTATACCATCGATTTAGTATTAACATTTAGCATCTATACAGTTATTAACTCATTCATAAGCGTCTCTAGCATCACATTAATGTTGTTAACAGCCATGACATTAATGTTAGCACTGCTACATCACTGTTAGCATATATACCCTCCCTCACAGTATCATTAGCAGCTATGCTATTGCAACGCTGTTAGCGGCTATATCTTAATTTTAGCACTGGTGCCTAAATACTCTAACATTTATAACATCATATTAGCATCAGAAGCTATGATATTGCTGTTAGCACTTTTACATCACTGGTAGCATCTATACCTCATATTAGCATTTGTGATTTTACATCACTGTAATCATCCATACCCTCACAGCATCATTAGCAGCTTTGCTATTGCGTCTATATCTATACCCTCAATTTAGCATTAGCATTTGGCATCCATACAGTTGTTGACTCATTCATAAGCGTTGTAGCATCACATTAATGTTGTTAACAGCCATGACATTAATGTTAGCACTGCTACATCACTGTTAGCATATATACCCTCCCTCACAGTATCATTAGCAGCTATGCTATTGCAACGCTGTTAGCGGCTATATCTTAATTTTAGCACTGGTGCCTAAATACTCTAACATTTATAACATCATGTTAGCATTAGAAGCTATGATATTGCCGTTAGCACTTTTACATCACTGTAAGCCTCTATACCTCATATTAGCATTAGCATCAATTCCATTAATTCAGTCTTAAGCTCTATTATCTCACATTTCAGTACAATGACACATTGTTTGTATGTTCTGTAGGTGAACTGGACGTCGCGGAGATCCAGCAGTCGTTACACAATCTTGGCGTGGACGTCACGCTGGAGCAGGCCGCCAAAATCCTGCAAAGGTGTGTGGTTTTGTACTTAGCATGTATGTAAAGTGCTTTTCAGGTGTGATTTTCTGACATGTGGTGCTTGTGAAATGTGTTGGTACAGTATGGATAAAGACCATTCCATGACCATCGACTGGTTAGAGTGGCGAGATCACTTCCTGTTTAACCCTCTGCACAACATGGAGGAAATCGCTCAGTACTGGAAACACTCGGTGGTACGAAGCAAAAGAGTTTTGTATGACTATAGAATGAGCCTCTTTCTTTCTGTAAGTCTATTATTGTGTGTTTGTAGATGTTGGACATCGGGGAGCTTCTGACGGTCCCAGACGAGTTCTCGGAGAAGGAGAAGCAGTCAGGGTTCGTGTGGCGGCAGCTGATGGCAGGAGCCGTGGCGGGGTCGGTGTCCAGGACAGGAACCGCGCCGCTCGACAGACTCAAGGTCTTTCTGCAGGTGAGACTGCGGTTAGAGTGGCGAGATCACTTCCTGTTTAACCCTCTGCACAACATGGAGGAAATCGCTCAGTACTGGAAACACTCAGTGGTACGACGCAAAAACTGAAACAGTGAGGTTTTCATGACTATAAATGGAGCCTCTTTCTTTCTGTAACTCCACTGTTGTGTATTTGTTGGTGTGTTTGTGTAGATGTTGGACATCGGAGAGCATCTGACGGTCCCAGACGAGTTCTCGGAGAAGGAGAAGCAGTCAGGGTTCGTGTGGCGGCAGCTGATGGCAGGAGCCGTGGCGGGATCGGTGTCCAGGACAGGAACCGCGCCGCTTGACAGACTCAAGGTCTTTCTGCAGGTGAGACTGCGCTGGTCTGGGATCAGTCGCTTTCGGTCTTCAATGAAACCATCTGGTCTTTGATGCACGTTTAGAGGTTCTTTTCGAGGTTTGCTCTCAAGATGCTTTCAAAGTAGCTCACGCAATACAATCTAGCAAAGCTGTGGCTTGTGTGAACAAGGATAAAAGGTATTTCTATATAACTACAAGTATCCATGATAATATATTTTATAAAATAATAATAATAAAAAAATTTAATTAGTTTTTATTTTTATATTTTGTTTTTATTTTAATTTTTGTTTTATTTAAAGTTTTAGTAATTTTGTGCTTTTGTCATTTTATTGTTTAATTTTTTTCTTTTCTTTTAAATATGTCTATACAGTTCTTATCATTTTTATTTCAGTTTTAGTTATTTTAGTATATAATAAGTTAAAGTAAAAGAAAATGAAAAATGTTGCTTTTGCAACTAGCTGGAATGAAATAAGTTTACAATTTTTATATATTTATTTTTTCAGTTAATGTCTGTTTTATTTCAGGTAACAATTTCTTTTTTAGATTTTTTTAGATTCAGTTAACTACTAAAGTTTTAGTTGGCTAAACTAGTTAGTTGACTTTAGTTGACTACAAACTTTGATTTGACGCAAAAAGTATTTAAAAATCGGACAAAAAGACAAAGGTACAATACTATGTATTTAGCAGCATTAATGAAGGAAAAAAATACAATTCTGTAAAGCATTGTGAATGAAAGGAGGAATATGAAACTATGGATTTAAAGATGTTGATTATGTATATAGAAACATATTTATGTTTATTGCAAAATATGCATATTATGCGAGTAAGCATTTTAGTTAGAGTGCAGTGTTCTTTTGCTATGATTCTGTGATTGGTGGAGAGTCTGTGCAGAATTATGGGTAATGTAGTTTTTCACCACTGTTGGACATGATTATTTAAAAAATAAGATGAACTAATGTGGGCTGATTGCTTCAACAAAAGCATAAACCATCGATTAACAACCTTGGAAGTCGCAGTAGGTCTGTCTTTAAAGGTTTATGAGTTAGGTTTATATGTCTGTGGATAAAATGAAATAAATTTTTACTTTCTGAACCTGTCGCACTCTATATTTTCAGCACCACACTGACCCCTGGAGGTCATTTCAGACACTGCAACTGAACTTTCTTATTTAGTTCATATTTTTAGGTGTGTTTGGTTTAACTGTAATCTAGTTCGACTAAAGCTTTACATTAAAATCATGTGAATTATGTGCTGATGTGCAGGTGCATGGCCAGAGCTCTGATAAGGGGAACGTGTGGCGCGGTCTGCGTGCGATGGTGAAGGAGGGCGGCCTCACTGCGCTGTGGAGGGGGAACGGCATCAACGTGCTGAAGATCGCACCGGAGACAGCCATCAAATTCCTGGCCTATGAACAGGTACAGCTCTGTCTTACACTCAGCCGTGTGGACAGAGACTCAAAACTCAGCCTGCATCTTTGTGTCTGCAGATTAAACGCTTGATGAGAGGCAGTAAAGAGGGAGGAACTCTGAAAGTTCAGGAGAGATTCGTCGCTGGATCACTGGCTGGAGCTATGGCTCAAACGGTCATATACCCTATGGAGGTAAATACACACACACACACACATACACACACACACACACACACACACACACACACACACACACACACACACACACACACACACACACACACACACACACACAAGAGAGCTGGTTCCTGCACACACTGAACGTCAAGGTCACTATATGTCAAGACCTCACTGTCATACCACACACACACGTCTACATGTCCACTCACATTACCAAAGGCCTTACATAAAGCACAAGCACAGTGCTCTGCATTCAGCGGCCCATTTCAGAATAAAGCAGTGAGCTGTGAATGGCTGTGGTTTATGGAGTGTGAAGTGGAGTCCTGGTAATACAATGGACTTAAGTAAAATAAATAAAGTCTTCTAAAAAATGTTGGCATTAGCAATGTTAGAAAAATATACATATTTTCAATAAATAACCACATTTATTAATAATATTCACAATAAACAATACTTGTAAAGAAAATGGTTTTTATAAAATATATTTATTAGTTCAAAAATCTATTTTATATTTAGGTTTAATTAAAAAGTAAAAGATATATATATATATATATATATATATATATTGATTATATAAACTTTGTGATATTTACACATCATTTGGATATTTTCATGTCTGGG